TGAATTGTAGTGAAACTGAGGATTGGTTGCAGTGTTTGCGAAAAGTGGACGCAAAGGATATCTTGAAATTAGAAAAATCTACAAACTTTCCGGTTGTGGGCACACAGTTTCTACCCATACCTACCCATAAGGCATTTGACGAACATTTATTAAATTACGGTTTGAATATTAAGTTTTAATAATCTAAGTATTAATCACTAATTATGATACATATTTATACAGATATAGATTTAATAGCCGGGGTAACCAGGGATGAGGGCCCACTATTATCACAGCTTTTGTTAAAACAAATAGATATTAAAACTGTAGACGACTTTCAAAAGTATGTCAAACAAACGGATGACATCTTTCACGGATTAGATGAGGAAAAGGTGTCCGAGTTTTACCTGAAGGGTGTGAACACCAGTAGTCCGCTCGCTATATATAAGGCTTTTAATCGGTTTTTTGGTGATTTAATGACCAATTGCCCCAATTATCTGTTTGCCAAACACCTTGCACAAATTGTCAAAAACAAACATAACGTTTACTTTTATGAGTGGACTTATCAGAGTCAGTACTTTGCCAAACTAAGTGGATGCGATGAGGCTACCATGGGCATTTGTCACGGCGCAGACATACCCTATATATTTGGTTTGCCGTTTCAAATTCCTAAGCAAGCACATTTGTTTACAGAGCTAGATGAGAAATTTGCTGCTGATATTATGACACTCTGGTCTAATTTTGCTAAAACAGGGTATCATATATTTATGTCTAAAATAATTTTAAGTTTTTAATTATATTTAAATTGATAGCAAACCGGACACACTATGGCCTCAATTATTGGATAATAATGTGATTTCAGTCCGTGATTTGAATCCACGGAATATGAGTCGAGTATTGGATAATCCCTTTCACACCACTTGTGATGACTTTTGGAAAAATTATTTCTTTTAAATAATAATTAATTAATTATATATTAAAATTATTATCGCGAAATAAATAATTATGTTTCATATACTGTACAGTATAGTTTGTAATTCAGTTATTTTTTATTTAAACATTATAATGTTATTATTTGATATAGCGGGTATATATTATTTTGTTTTGAATAATTTTCATATAAATAATTTAAACTATTTATACTTCCTTTATTTCATACAATTGCAAACTTTTGTGAACATTAAATTTTGGACGTCATCCAGATCATTACGTACTCTATTCTGTGGGAAAGGGGTAACGATTTGTAATCAACTTGTTGAGTCAAAAATTGCAAAATTGATGAATTGTTTAGAATTCTGACCAAAATCTGCACAAAACATAATCACCTAGGTGTTGAGGACAGTACGTATTTTACCACGACATTATGATGTAATATAAAATTTATTTCTAAATTATAGAGAAATACTTACTATTTATAAATGTTAGTGCATTATAGACTTTTCGATGAGATAATAAGTGTCTATCATAATTTATATAACATTATCAATATCTATTTTAATGTCAGATATAATTTTTGTAGAGAATATTAGTAAGCAAGCATAGTTCCTTTATTATTATATTTTATAAAAACATATTTTTGCTTTTTATTTAAGTACTATGAGATTTTTATATAAAAATACCCCCTATGATTTATAATACGAAATTGAAACTTAAATTATCTTATATTCCAGAAAAGTATCATTTATTATGAAATCTATTTTTGATTAAAAACTACTGAAGTGTTAGATAACATTGATTTTTATAAGTGTTTTGTCTTAACACTTAAGCTAAATATATTTTGTTTCAATATTTCATAGGAAGGAATATTCAATAAAAGTGAAAAATTTATATTTCTTTTTATTTTTGATTTAATAGTTCAGTACATTATGTAATAAATGTTCTAGGATATTAAACCAAAATCCTATTTTATAATGGTTTATTAATAAATATTTTAAATCTATTATAAGGAAATCATACAAAAAGTATGAAACTTTATTAAATAGAAAGTGTTTAAAAAAGCTTTCATTTTTAGGGTGCAATAAATCTTAAGATATCGTAAGTATATAAATAAGCGACACAAATAAATTGCATAAATGGGTGAAACTGATGGTCAATCAGCTGTTCCCCTATCACCGACACTATCCATAGTTACCATTACATCAACTGTTGAGGTAAGACATCAATTGGGATTTTATTATGATTATGAAATTGTTTGCTTTAACGGTATATAAAAACTATTTTATTTATAGGAAAAGAAACGAATATTCTTTGAGTTGAATGACAGCCCAAGACATCAGCAAATGTGTCCTGAAAACAGTGAAAATAATATGAATTTTACAGACAATACCAGTGAATATACAGTGACTGTGGACAGGGATGTTATCGATACAACTATTACTGGAAATGATTTAAACACAGATAGAAATCTTAATAATAATAATGTATTTTTTAACCCAAATGTGATTAATTCACAGCGTTTTCGGGCTAACAGTGCTGTGAATGGTGGTCCAGCCCTTAGGAGTATTATGAGGGGTAGGGCTCTCACTGTGGACACTGTTTCTGCCATTAGATATCAAAGTAATAAATAACATAATGTTTGCAAAATATTTTAAACTAAAATTAAATATTTTTAGATACAACGGAAACAATTACAGTTTCGCCACAAATAATACCCGACCACAGGGATAGGGATTACGGACCCTATTTTAATCACAATAATAATACTAATATTAAACATAGTGAACCGACACGTACTGACAAACACGTGCCAAACATAAACACATTTGTCATAAATTTCATGTCAATTATGTACGCAATCCTTATGATAGCAATCAATGCCATGATTACTATATTTGAATTAAAAAGTAAATACAATAGGATTACTAATTCAGTGATGATTATAATGAATGGTTTGGGCTTTGCATGGATACTGTTCCTGCACTGGGATATCAAACGGTATAAACGGTGGGCCGTTCAGTACTTGAACTCAAACCAGGGGACTGGTAGTGATGAGTGCGATGGCAGTGGTGTCCGTTCAGATAGTCTGACCCATCGGATGAGTATTACAACACTTGTGGTGTTTAATTCACTGGAGAACTCTAAGCCGGGACATGTTGTGGATAGTGATAGTGACAGTATATCAAACACATCCCAAAAATTTAGACCTGGTTATAATTATTGTCAATCTCATTCTGGAAAATTTTATCTCAAATGTGGAATGATTGGTAAGTTTATATTGATTTTATAGTTTTATTAGCATGTTAAATGTCAAGGGTATATCACTCGAACTAAAAGACAGTTTAATATTTATAAAATTTTAAAATGCTCACGGCAAATTAATGAGACTGTAACAAGTTAAAATAAAATTAAGTATAATCTATGATGAACTTTAAATGTTTTAGCATTGGGCACTAATTAATTAAACAATTTTGTGTACTGAACAGTGTTTTGTTTCGGAAGTATCGTTCACATGGGTGTCCAGGTGTTCAGTCAAACCTACTTTTACATCAACGACAGTCCCCGATGTCAGGACTTTCTCACCATATTTTGCTTATCCATACGAATCGTGTTCTCCTTCTATCAGCTCTACATTGCATTCAAATATTCAAATGTATGTAAAAAATATTATTTTATAAAATAACTCATAAACTAATTACAATTTGATTTCATAGATATTGATATACCGGCACCAACTGTTAGCCAGGTTTGCGTTAATGCATTTGTTGGCCACATCCCTGTCCTCGTGGTTCAGGACTATTATCAGTGAGGCTGTGGATGATTATGTGGAGTCCATCCACGCGCTGAACCATACGTTAAATACGAGTCAAAACTACTTTCACTCAATGATTGAACATGAGATTCATTGCCTGGAGAGGACAGTCATCAATGATAAGTCGATGCAAACACTGCCCTATTTATATCCATTCACTATTGAGTTCAATATAATTATGGCATCCATTTGGTACATATGCTGGACTAATATCGGTATGTGTTTCATAATTATGTCGATAGGATTTAGTTTCATAAAAACTTACAAAAATACTTAACTTTAGTTGTAAACTAATAAACTATATTTCCCTACTATAATCTTTAATAGTCCACTTTCATAACATATTCAATTATTTTTGTTTCATTATAAAAGTTGTTTGATATTGTGGTACAGTCTGTAACATATAACACATATTTATTTATTATAAAACTTTTTAATATAACATATGTAAATAAACTAAATACTAAGTTATTACTATTTTCATTAATATGTACACAAATTTAAAATGTAAAACTTAATTGTCCTAATAATTACAGGCAAAGTGCACTCACATCCCGGGCCAGCCCATATCAAAGTTAAACCTAATCTATCGGACGGGGATCAGGAATTCGAGTACCGGTCGGCCATATCAATCAGTGCCGACTGTCACGCCAGTAATCGGGGTCTATTTGCCGGCATAACAACCCTATTAGCAACCGCCGTAACAATCATTATATTTTTCGCCACCCAGTCCTACGACCGCTTCGGGATATCCGTCTATTGCACACAAATAGGTGTCCTAACCCTTGTGTGTTGTATCGTCATACCCCTGGCCTACCACCAGACCCGTAAACTGAACGTGGTCACCCGGGAACATTTTAACTGCAACCATACCGTGATGGACGACCTACTTGTGCTCATACCGGTGCCGTTCTTTTTACTACACTATGTGTACCTAATTATGGCTGACATTCACGACGAGAGTTCACCAGTGAATGTGTTTTTGATAGTGATATACGTGTTGACTATACTACAGGTGCTCATACAGTCACCGTTCATAGTGGATGGCATACGCCGGTGCTCTAACACCAAAGAGCTCCGGTATGTGAAGCCCGGCAGGAATTATATAATGTTTGCTCTCATACTGAACATCACGCTATGGATATTGAATACGTTTGAGTTGAGATATGTGGACAGGTATCAGGGAATGGAACATTATTTTGGCAAACTCACCTGGATGATATTGTCTAATGCAAATTTGCCATTGATGCTATTTTATCGGTTTCATTCATCTATGTATGTTTCATGTATGTATGTATCATTCATGTATGTTTGAGTCATATATGGAAGTATGCCTATGAAAAAGATACCAGTGCCTAAAGTGGTCTAGATAATAAATAGCTACAATTTACTATTGTAAAATGCATATAGATATTTATAAATAAAGTTAATGTTATACTGTATTTTAATTTCTAAGTTACAATGAAGCAAAAATTATTTCATTCAAATAAAATAAATTTTGAAAATGTTATCATTGTTTGCAAACATCAAAACATTTTTAAATTTTTAATAAAAACTGCTAAAAATTTCTGAACAATTGAAACACAAAAGGGTTGAAAATACAAATCAAACACAAAACCGGCGATAATTGTGTCCAAAACAGGACAGACACCCGACTCTAAGACATCACCGCAAAGGACATCGAAATAGCGATGAATAACACAAACAAATCGTTGCGACGAATAAACAACGAAATGCTGGAACTCCAGAGGAATCCCATTCCGGGTATCAGTGCCGCGCCCTACCCGCCCGGTAACGACCCCTACCAATGGGTGGGCAACATCACGGGCCCGCCCGACACCCCGTACGCGGGCGGACTGTTTATCATGAAGATCCAGTTCCCGCGTGACTACCCCTTCCACGCGCCGCACATTGTCTTTCAGACCCGTGTCTATCACCCGAACATCAGTGACAAGGGATGCATATGTCTGGACACACTTAAGCAGAACTGGAGCTCAGCCCTCACTATAGGACAGGTGTTGCTCACTATACAGCAACTGTTGGCCGATCCCAACCCCCGCGACCCCCTCGCCTACGGGGTCGCCCAGGAGTACCTCAACAACAGACCGGTGTTTGATCAGAAGGCCAGGGAGTATACCCGAGAGTACGCCCGACCCCCTCCACCTGCTGCTCAAAATAGTGGTAGTGGTGGCGGTATTGGTGGCACTGGTAGTCAATAGAATATAGCAAATTCAGTGGATGTGTATGATTAGTGAATAAAGATATGAATTTATGTTATAAATAGGTTTAGATTTTATTTTTAATGTTACTTCATATGGTAATCATGAGTATTATAAATAGTTTATAGAACTGGTAGTTTTTATTATCAATGTGTTATTTGTGATAATAATTGCTATTTTAATTTGCAGTATAAATTTAAAACACAAGTATTTTTAATTACTATATTGTAAAACTTTAAAACAAGTATTTTTAATTAATATTTTGTAAAACTTTAAAACACAAGTATTTTCAAGCAATCGTTTCTGAAACTTTAAAACACTAGTATTAAATGATTAGTTTTAAAAAATACAATAATTTCTAAAATATTAATAATAAATGCAACGAAAAGCCCGATTAAACATACGTTGAATGAATTGTGCAATTGATTTAAGTTTAGCTCATATTTATAAACGTGTTGTTTATTATAATAATTGTTATGTTTTGATGAAATGTTAAGATAATACTTTTCTTTCCAGTGGTCTATAAGTCCGGCGCTTATTATATCCATAATCCTGCAAAACAAACAAAAATAATTAATTTTAAATAAAAATTTAAATAAATAAAATTCATACAGTTTATTAAAATGCGTGAAATGTTCAAACTTCTTGTTAAATGCAATGGCAATTAAATCGTTGAATATATTTGAGACCGTGGATATTGAGGGCACATTATAATTAATTTTTGTGCGGATTATATTATATTCAATCAGGGTCCTATCGTCGATATAAACATACTTATTTGGCGCTCGGCTTAAAATGTCAAACGCCTCATAAATATATCGCACATGAATTATTGATTTATTAACATTATGGACGTCCATGTTATTGGAGGTACTCTATCAACAAATAATTATGAAATTATTATCCGTTTATTAAAACTAATTAAATTTAATAAGTTGTTAACATGTTGATATACCACTTTTATTATGTAATCAACCAAAAAAGTCGATCCTTCATTAAATATGTATTCAATTTGTCCGACACTTTTAGCATGTATTAAGTCATTAATGGTATCAATTTGTTTGGGTGGTGTGGGCACCGATATCCTACTATACAGTTCCCCTCCGTAACTAAACCTCAGTATAATTGCCGCCGAAAGCCAGATTATTATTAAAAACCTTGATAATATTTGTTTGGAAAAATATTTTACGGGTTGTGAGAGTAGTATTGAAATGAATGGACAACTTGATATAAATCGCTTATACATCTTATAATTAATTAATGTGTTTATTATGCTTAAAATAATCAGGGAACATAATATTAATGACCAAATTTTATAATCAAAAGGTGCTAGCAACGATGTTGTGTATGACTGTTTATAATCAACTGCAGGTACTGTAAATGACATGGGTGTTATATAGTGTGGGTAGGTAAATTTTATCGCACGTGTGCGTTCCGCAGTTATAGACAAGCATCCAATACCAAAATCTGCTTGCTATATTTAAATAAATAAAAATTAATTTGTTTACATTATATAATAAATTACATACATTTTGTTGAACAGCACCTATAATACCGTCCCAAGTATTATTTTCTAATTCACGGCCCCAGGTATAATTACAATCAATTATTTCAAATGTGAAATTTAAGTATTTACTTAATGTGTATACCAATGACCCCTCAAATCCATTAATAATTACATTGTTTTTGTTATTAATGAAATTATTAGTGAAATCAAAATAAGGGAATACCTTAAGAATAATACGGAATTAATATTAAAACTTTGCTAGTATTTATAATTTGTTATGATTACGTGTTTATTAGCTGCAATGCGCACATGTTTGCCCATAAGATTTATCATGATCAAAATTAATAGAAACAATTCCGATGATTTATTTTAGAAAATAGACAGACCTTAGATTATAATTATATTTAAAATATATAACTTGCTAGACTTTAGGTCAATATAATTTGTAAGTTTGTCACTGTATTATTGTCACTGTATTATTGTCACTGTATTATTGTCACTGCACCTATTAATTTATTAAGAACTCATTATTATTATTATATATTAAAATTTCTTAAATATTAAATATACAGTAGAAATATATACATACCCTATTGAATTATTATATATGATCGATATTTGTTTGTGGCATTAAATTATTTTATTTTTATTATGTTAAACTGACACGTATTCATTAAAGATAATTATTTTTATGAACATATTATTATATTTATTGAATGTCACTTTTAAAATTGACATATATAGAAAATAATTTAATTAGGTTTCAAATGTACTAAAGCACGTGATTTTAATATACAGGTATTGGTAAAATAAAATTTAATATTAATACAGTGTGACAAAAAACAAAAATTTAAATCAATATTTTTTGCGAATGTATGATTTAACATTAAATAGAAATAATTAATGAATTTACTTGTTTATTAACCATGTTTGAATTTGTAAAACAAACGATTTAAAATGTAACAATTTCTAAAATACTAATTATAAAGGCAATTACAATCCCAATAAAATATACCTCAAATGAGTTTTTTAATTGTTTTAAATTTAGTTTATTTTTGTAAATGTATTGTTTATTACTGAAGTAATTATATTTTGGATTCATTGCTAAATAATACTTTTCTTTCCAGTAGTTTATAAGTCCGGCACTTATTATATCCATAATTCTGTACACATATAAAATAATGTTAAATTTAAATTAGCTAGTAAACAACCATTATTAAATGCAAATAAACTTTCATACAATTTATTAAAATCCATAAAATACTCATTATTTTTGTTGAATGCAATAGACATGAAATCATTGAATATATTTGAGTCCTTAAATATTGGGGGCAAATAATAGTCGACTTTTGTAGCAATGATTTGGTACTCAATTAGAGTCCGATCGCCGATATAAACGTATTGATTGGGGAAGCGTTTCATTATATCAAATGCTTGTTGAATATACTTCACAGACATCCCTGATTTATGACTAACCGTTTGATAGGAACTCTATGAGAAAACAATGTTTAATTATAAATTATATTAATATCACAGTACATAATCAAGCAATATACCCATTTTGCTAAGTAATCAATCACACTTTTTGCTCTCTCATTATATATATAATCGATTTGACCGATACTTTTGGCATACATTAAGTCATCAATGGTTTCCAAATGCTTGGGCTTTATTGGCACTGATATCCGGCTGTACAGTTCCCCTCCATAGATAAGCCTCAGTATAAATGTCGTCAAAAGCCAAATAATTATCAGAAATCTTAATATAATGTCAGTGGAAATATGTTTTACAGGTTGTGAGAGTAGCATAACAATAAAATCACAAGTTATTATAAATCGCTTATGAATCTTGTAATTAATTATTATGTTTATTGTGTATAACACAATCAGTGAACATAGTATTAGTGACCATATTTTATGGTGAAAGGGTGCTAACAGGGATGTCGTGTATGACTGTGTATAATCCAATACTTGCGCTGTAAATGACATGGCTGTTATGTAGTGCGGGTGTGTAAATTTAACCACATGTGCACGGTTATCTAATATGGACAAGCATCCTATGGCAAAATCTGCTGTCTACATTACATAGTACATTAAATGCATTAAAACTCTTAACTAACATTATAATAAATTTTTAAAGTAGTACATTTTGTTGGACAGCACCTATCATACCATCCCAGGTATTATTACTCAATTTACGTCCCCAATGTTGGTTGAAATCCAGAATATCAAAAGTAAAATTCAAATATTTACTCATTGTTTTCAATATAGACCACTCAAAACCATTAAGAATTATATTATTTTTGTTATTTTTAAAATGATAAGTGAAATCAAAATATGGAAATACCTACAATCAGAGTTATAAACATTATTAAAACTTTTTGCATTATTATTATTATAAATAAAATTTAAATAATATTTTTAAATTGAGTAATTTACCGTACATGTTTATTTGATGCTATGCGCAATCGTTTACCCATAAAATTTATCATAAATAGATTGAACAAGGATACCTTAGTTAAAATTTAGGATTTATATCTAAAATTTAAAGTAATTAACTTTATCAAGTTTATTAAATATTTAAAAATGATAATAATGAATTACCTTACTTGCTAGACTATTGAATTATTAAATATGATCGATAAATGTTATGCGATTAAATTATAATATTATAAAAGCATGTATTCATTAAAGATAATTATTTTTATGAATAGATCCTTATAAATAATAATTATTATTTCAGGTTTTATTTATTTTACAATTGACATTTATTGCAAGTAATTTAATAAATAATTATGTGCATGCATGTGTACAAAATTAAAATGTATTCACGCTACAGTATTTATTAATAATAAAGTATTCAATAAAATGAAATACAAATGATTTCAAAACAATAATTATAAATGCAATCAAACACCTAATAAAGCATATTATTTTAAATAATTATTTAATTATTACAATTGTCATATTTATTATATAGTAGTTTCAGTTGGAAATTGTTTTGTAAAACCTTAGAGTTCACATGGATCAAATAACATTAACCTATTTTTAATTAATAGCTTATGTCCAGAGGTTATTGAATTAAATTGAATTTATTATAACGTAATTTTTAAACAACTTAAATTATATTTAATTAAATAAATAATTACAAAAAAGATATTATAAAATAAAAATAATTTTATATACAGGTAATATTTTTCAAATTATTACAATAACCAAGAATATTGTAGTTTAACATGCTAGGCAAAATTTTATTAATATATAATTCTATAATATTATGTTTAAAATAGTTTATACTATAATACTTTAAAAACTATCCTTTAATGTGTTAATAATTACTTATTCTTAGTGTTAACTAAAAATAAATAAGGACTTATTTAGTTATTTTTAATATTTAAACATAATTACAAGTTCACGATGAATTGAAATAGTTAACATTATTGCAAGATACTTATTTAACTAAATAAGTAAATATTTAAAGGTTTATAAAAAAA